CAAGATATGAATGATTCATACATGAAAGCATGTTTCTCAAGATGTTTTTCTGATTCTGTTAGTTCAGTTCTTTGTTTTCTTGAAAACATGAGAGTTGACATAGTGGACTGCAGTGCAGGTGGTAGTGTGAAAAATAAGCACTTGTACCAGTTAATTTTTGTGGGGGGGGAAATGTTTCTGTAGGCACTTTTTAAAAAAGAGAAAGTAAGAAAATTTGTTATCCTAATGCATATGTTATAGAAGGACAGTAAGTGCTGTTTGCAAAGTGTGTCTGTGCTGGAAGTAAATTAGCAGCTAGCAGGCTCTCCTAGGAGACCCCATTTCCTGGTGGGAAAGAATTTCCAGAGGATGGTGTGAGGGGGGGAGAAAGGCAAGTTCCTGTGGTTTGTCAATTCAGAAGTTCAGCTTGAGTTTGGTTTTTATCTGCTTGAGAGCTAATAGGATTATTTGACTGTAAAGGTACTTTAGGGAGATCCCTTCCCCTTCAGGACAGGATCAGCTGTGAGGCCTGGGCAGGTTTCCTGGGGCTTTTCCAGGTGAATATTGAAACAAACCCTTCCAGGATGGAGACCTTGCGTCCAGCTTAGTGGGCAGCAGGCTCTGCTGCTTCGCCCTCATGGAAGCAAAAAAGCATGCTGTATTTATCCAGTTGAATCTTTTGCTTAATTTGCGTGGCAAGACTATATGACCTTCATCAAAATATGAAAAGTTTGAAAAGGTGCTCTGGAGGACTTCGGGATTTTAACAGTGAGAAGTGATTTTTTTTTCTGAAATAAGCACATTTCCTAAGAGACACAAACATTTAAGCACGTTTGAAATTGATGTTCTAGTTCTTTTGCAGCCATTCTAACAATTTTAATAATTAAATTACAGATTTAAATCAACAGATAGTTACCTAAAAATGTGTGAATAAATGAATACTGTCAGTTCTAGCTTTGCTCTGGAGATCTGGGACTGACTGTAATATTGCATGTTGGTCTTGAGTGTTTTAGGATGAATTGTACTAGCTGTTCTTCAGAATGTCTAAGACAAGGTATTCTTACTGATACCTCCCCCCTCCTATTAGCAGTTCTTGCCAGCTGGATTTTTGATTCTGACATTGTCTCATGGATTTATTAATGTTCAACAGCTGTTGAACAGCTTTGAAAAAAAAAATAATTGTATTGCCTCCCAGTAGTATCCATGTTACCTTCAAATTAACTTTTGGGTTTATTCTGACTCAATAACGGCAGAACTAAAAATGAGTTCTTTTTAGAATTGGATAGTGAAAAGAGGCATAGAAGGAGCAAAAGTGTAAAACTGGAGAAACAGCAGGTGTTTTGTTAGAACTTTTAGGACTTCAGATTTTATAATGATGGTCTTAAACTTGTATCGTTAAGCATTTGAGATTAAGTAATGTTCTGCTCATTATTGATTATGCAATTATAAAAGCTTGACAAACAGCTGCACTCGAAAGCAATTATAATGTTCATACATAGTTTCTCTGCCCACACACTGGTCTGTCATGTGGAGATGATCCATGTGCATTCCCAATACAGCCATTTGCACAAGGGTTTTTTAATTAATCTAGGTGTTTAAGACACTGTAAAGAAAACTGCAAATCATCAGCTGCAGTCTGTGTGAATCATAGATTGGTAGCTATTAGTATATTTGACATAGAATGCTTGTCTTAATTTTGATAGGTGCATGTTTCTTTCAGGATTTAAATTCTACTTTTCCAGGTCACATCTTGAATCCAAAAAGTGATTTCTGTTTTTTTTTTTTTGTTTAGTAGTTCAATGCAGCTGACTGTAAGCTGCATTATGCTGCAGAAATGACTTGCAGACTATTCTGATCTCCAGGAAAGATTCACGGAGGCTCAGAGCTACAAAAATAGTTTTTAAAATGACTTCTGAGTTAGAAACATGCACGCAGTATGTGTGTACATCATCTTTCTATTAAATCAGATCCAATGTGCATGTTATAACATTATTAAAAAATCCACAAACAGACCAAAACTTTATTTTTTAGTAGCCTTAAAAATGTTTGCTGAATACAGAGCAGATGTCCAGCATCATGCTTAGTGATATAAGGGTATGAGAGAAGTAGAGGCAGGAGAAAGTCCAGGGAGTCCCTTACCCACTCCATACTATAAATTTTGCTTTTTCCAGAGGAAACCATTGTGGAAGGGATATTCAGACTTCAGTGTAATCAGTGTTAAGTGCTAGTCTGGCTGACATACATATTGTCAGAAAAATACTCTTAAAATTGTTATCCTGTTACGTTATATAGAAGTACTTGCAGACTTCTTATATAAGGAAGAATTTTTTACTGCCATAATCTTTGGAATCTTTGTTATTTAGAGATTTAAAATTGCATGGTAATCTATGAAGAAATGTTAATAATGCTTGAAAGTTATTAGACTCCCAGAGATAATCTTTTATGCATGATATTATATTGTTTTCCAGAAGAAAAAAAAGTCTTTTCTTCAAATCCTCACAGTTTGAAGCAAGCTGCAATGTAAAAATTAAATTGAATCATATGAGGTAGGATACACTACTGTTACAGGTTTTGATAAATTCTGATAGATCTAAAAATTATTAGAGGTCTAGGCATTTAGACTGTTTAGGCTATAGGGATTTCTTTACATTTTTTTGCTATAATCTGCTAACTTAAAGGAATCTTGTAATACAAGCATTTTCTAAACCTGTAATTTCTACCAATTTGGATAAACTTTACTGAGTAGGGGAGAAATTCCAAAGGTGTCTCTGCTCCTCCTTCACCATAGACCGTCTTGACTTTTTTTGAGGTTCAATGGAAGACCCTGAGTTTCATGCTCTCCCTGCTCTCCACGTGCTGAAATGAGAGTCTGGTTGATACTGTTCACTGGATGATGTCTCTTCAACTTAATCCTGAATTGTTATGTTGCACAACAAAAGACATGTTATTTTATATTTTGAGTAAACCTCAGGTATCTCTGGGAGTACTAGCTGAGAATCCTGTACTGCTCCTTTCTAAGAATTGCCAAATCCTCTTGGAGTGTAATGGCTTTGGAATAGCTGGAAACACTGAAAAACAATCTTTTGTGGCACAGGTGTTAGGGGAAAGAGAGAGTAATTTCAGAACACAAAACCTGTGTAAAACAGCTACTCTGGCAATGGGAAGATATAAATGAAACAATCATAGAATGCTTTGGGTTGGAAGGGACCTTAAGGATCATTTAGTTCCAACCCCTCCACAATGGGCAGAGATTCCACACACTAGATAGGTTGCTCAGGGCCTCGTCCAACCTGACTTTGAACACTTCTAAGTATGAGGCATCCACAACTTCTGTGGGCAGCCTGTTCAGTGCCTCGTTACTCTTTGAGTAAAGAATTTCTGCCCAACACCTAGTCTCAGTCTCTCCTCCTTTGCTTTAAAATTGTTTGCCCTTGCCCTATCCCTTTTTGCCTGTGTAAAAAGTCACTCTCCCTTTATAAGACCCCTTCAGGTAGTGAAAGGCCACAATGAGGTCTCCCCAGAGCCTTCTCTTCTCTTCCTGGAGGCTGAACAACCTCAGCTCTTTCAGCCTGTCATTGTAGGAGAGGTGCTCCTCATATTTGTGTCCCTCCTCTGGACCCACTTCAACAGGTCCATGTGTGTTCTGTGCTGAGGACCCCAGACCTGGACACAGTGCCCATCCTTGACCTGCTGGCCACTTCTCTTTTGATGCAGCCCAGGGTGCAGTTGGCCTTCTGGGCTGTGAGTGCATATTGCCAGCTTATGTCCAGCTTCTCAGCCATGAGAAACCCCAAGTCTTTCCTTGCAGGGCTGCTCTCCGTGACTTTCTCCTCCAGAATGTGTTCTTATCTGGGGTTACCCTGACCCAGGTGCACTACCTTACACCTGGACTTGATAAGCTTCATGAGGTTCTTGTGGGCCAACTTCTCAAGTTTGTCCAGGTCCCTCTGGATGGCATCCCTTCCTTATGTTGTGTCAGCTGCACTGCTCTTGATCTCACAGGCTGTGTCACTGATGAAGATGTTAAAGGGAACTGGTCCTGAGACGGAGCCCTGAGGGACACTGGTTGTTGCCAGCCTCCACGTGGACATAGAGCCATGGACCACAACTCTCTGGCTGCATCCATCCAGCCAATTCCTTATCCATGGAATAGTTGATGCCTTAAATCCGTGTGTCACCAGTTTGGAGATAAGGATGTCATGTGGGACTGCATCAAAAGCCTTTACAGAAGTCTAGGTAGATGATGTCTCTTGGTCTCCCCTTGTCAGTCGTTGCTGTCACTCCATTGAAGGCCACTAGGTTGTTCAGCAGTTCTGCTTAACTCTGCTTTGGAAAATAAAAAAGAAAACAGCAATTCTGGTTAAATATGCTTTACCCAAGGGTTCTGCACGTTTTGTCTGAATAAAAAGATTCCAGATGTTTTGTCTGGGATCCAGTCCTTGGCTCTTGAATGGCAGCAGTTTCACAGAATCATGAGCACTTCAACAGTTTGCTAATTCTTTCTGGGATTGTTGACCCGTCGAATAGGTCCTCAGTCTCTGACATAAGTAGCCCTTTATTTTCTCGTACTTTGATGTTTTCAAATACAAAACCAGTTGCTTTTCTGATTATGTACATAGTTGTAGTTTTGGTGAAACAACGCTGTGACCTTCATAAAGTGGATCTGTTTTGTTGTCACTTGTGGGGGTAGCAGGGAGAGGTATACCATTTGTCACTCTGCTGTGGAAGGGTTGTGAATAATGCCCCAGAGGAAGGAAGCCTAAAGGCATACTGAAAGTGAGAGCAGTACAGGCAGTGTCAGGAATGCAGCAAATAATTCTCTTCAATCAGGAAGAACTCGAGGGAACAAACTTTTTCAAGTTCCCTGGATATCTTTATTTGTTTTGTAATAGTTTTTCTCCTCCCTTTTTTTGGCTTATTGTTGTTTCCAAGGGCTGAAAACTGGTTATGCTCAAAACGTGTTTGTAAGAGATGTTTGCAGGTGTAATGAACTGGATGTCTACAACCACTGCACATGTTTTTCTCTCTTAGCAGCAAGGTGTTGGCAGGCCAAGTGTATACCATGCAGTGGTGGTCATATTTCTGGAATTCTTTGCCTGGGGACTCTTGACAACTCCAATGCTAACAGTAAGTATCATTCATCAACTGTTATCTTGGCAGTAATGACAAATGTTAGTTTCCTAATTCCTAGGGGTTTGGGTTTTAATTTGTTTTGCGTTTCCTGCCTATCTCATTACCTGAATTCCAGAAGTCGTATCATTCAGCACTATGCAGTAGTTAATATACTACAGCTGAGATCTGGACTGCTGAAAGACTGAAAGGTAATAGAAAATAAATTAGCAATATGCTGTACTGCTCTTTTACTTGTCTTTTAGAGTAACATCAGTTTAGTTTGTTGACGGAAGTATCTCTGGAAATTCTGGTTTTTTAAGACTTCGTAGTTCAATTCATCTTCCAGTTGTGACGACTGAATAAACTGTGTTCACTGTTGTGGTCTGGCTGTGTTACCAGCAAGTAACTGAAAGTAAAATGTAAAGGCATTCATGTAAGACATGGATTTCATAAGCATTTAGTCTGTTCTGGAATTATGTTGTTTGCCAGATAAACACATAATTTGTGTTTGGTGATAGGATATGAACCATTTCATCTGAAGACATGGATCTCATTCATTGAAATGGGGCCTGCCAGAGAGAAGCTATCAAAAGTCTATTAGTCCAGGTTTTCATCAGTTAATATCTGAGAGCACTTTGAACACATGACGAGCAAAGTTTTGTGGGATTGAAAGAGTTAATTATTTTTCTTCCCCAAACTTCGGATAAAATAATCTGCATAACTCTTGAAGTGTGTTTGTCTAACCTTCCTAAAGACAATCACTGAACATAGCTTGATAATAAAAAAGTCCATATAAAACAGTTAACCCCTTTCTGTAAAGCAGGTGTCTCATTAATGACCATCCTGTCATGATGTCCTGCCAGTGTCAAAATATGGGCAAGCTTACTGGGTGGTCTTTCTTATTTCTTTTTTATTTTTTTCCTTTGCTTTTTTTCTTAACCAAAGTGCTTGACTTCAACTTGCCCAAGCCTGACACTTCTTGTTTTTTGTGGTTCTGTCATGATTCTCCAGGTCATTGTCAACGTTCAATCTTATTAAAATGTTGTGTATTATGAAAATAAATTGCATGTATTCTAAAGTAGCTGAGATTATTTAAAGTTAATTTTTTAAATTGCTTTTTCACTTCTTTTGGCATCTGTCAGCAAAGCTATACTGTTTGTTACATGACACTGTATTTGGAGAAGAAAAGATTTAAAGTGTTTGTAAAGCACACAAAGGCTTTTTTGGCCACAGGCTGCCCAAAGTTTGTGCTCATTACTTTTATTTATGTACTTGTATGCCAATGTTAGTAAATCACCATAAGCAATATTAATCACTTACTGACATGTTCTGTCTTCAATATGATTTTTTTTAATATGTATCTATTGGTAGAACTTGAGTAAAGCAGTTCCCTCTACCAGCTTGTCAACTTTCATTTCTCTAATCTATAAAGTTACAGAAATTAATCTCAAAAACTTGAACCAATATCAGCAGTGGTTGCCTCCCAGGAAAAAACCCTGGAAAACGCTTCACAGAAAGATAATTAGATTAGGAAACTCTGAGTTTCCTGCTCTCTTTTTTTTTTTTTTTTTAACTTAGAAGACATCTGCTTTTGGATCTCTAATTTGAACCCTGACTTTTTTCTTCCATTCATATAATCAGATCAGTGATCTTAACAGGTGAAAAATTGTTTTAAATATCTAACCAAATGATGACACCAGAAGGGAAAAGGGGTATAAATGAGAAGAATTATCCGACCAGTAGTTAATATGAGAACCACCACCTTTATTAAACGTATGATTTGAGAATCCCAGTCATCCTTGAAAAATGATGCTGACACTTTTCAGTGGCACTGCAGTATTCTGTTTCTTCAGACTAATGGCTTTCTCAGTATGCATATAAATAATTTCTGTAGTTGGTGGCACTACCTCTAAATAAAGAGCAAACGAATTTGAATTTTGTCTGCATACTTGCTTTGATCACTTCAATAACTTTTTTTAATCGACCCTGTAGCACCTGTGAGGCCCCTTAACTCTCTTGCATATTTATGGTAAATCTGTTTAGCGTAGATTAACGTTCTTGCCCCTGAATTAAGACTGCTGGTAAAGCACCTTAAATGAATTTGTAGCTGTATTTAAACACTCAGAACTCTTGCTAGTATTTATAAGTATCTACTTGTTCATCAGTTGTGAATATATAACTCTTTTTTCCTCATCAGTGTAAGGTAGACAAATCTCATTTTCACTCCTAAACATTGACAATGTTTGAGTCAACCTTTTGAAGGAATTAGCTAGATCGAAAATTTTGTAGTTTTTACTGCACAGAGATGCTTTTTGCTCACATTGATCCTCTTTTTTTATTTTAATAATTTCTTATGAAGACAAATAGGAAGTATAATTTTTTCTGGGATTTTTTTTTTTTTAGTTTTTATTTTGCATAAGATAAAAGTTCACATAGAGCTATCCTGTTTTACAAATCAAATTTAAACTTGGAATCAACTTTATTCTGTCTCTCCTGATTCAAATAATGTTTTTTTTTCCTGTCAGGTCTTACATGAAACATTTCCCCATCATACATTTTTAATGAATGGTCTTATTCAAGGTTTTAAGGTAAGATCTTTTTAAAACCTTTGACCTAAATATTGTGTGTGTTCTTGTATTTTACTTGTCTCACCTGAATTCTCCATAAGAACTTACAAAACAAAACAAACTTACAAAATGGCTTTCTCAGTATGCATATAAATGATTTTTGTAGTTGGAGGCACTTACTTTATAAGGGTTTGGCAGAACAGGGATTTAGTGCAGTAGTCTGTACCCTTATGTTAAACTTGAGAGTGACTGTATTTGAATAACAGAGGTATGCTAAAGTTAGCTGGAGTAGACTTCCAGTGTACAGAACCATGCATTTACTGAGGTTTGGACTTACAGCAGAGTTGGATTGATGAGTGAACAAAATACTAATTTGGAGGAAAATGTTCTTCTAAGCTAAAGTTCTGCACTTAACAAGCTTAAGAAATCCTTTACTTATTTTAATTCTGTGTAACACAGAACAGATTTGAGATGAAGGCCTAGACTCTAGGTCTTCATGAAATGCTGAAAAATCTAGTACTTGATCCTTCATCAGTGGTCCTGTACATCTAACTCTGACCTTTGCCAGTGGAATATCATAATGGTGTCCCATAATCTCAAGTTGCCAAGCTTGCTCAAGTGATCCTTGTAGTTCTTGCAGTGTACAGATGTACTGTACATGATGAATACTTGATATAAAGCAATAAGTGTTATCTTAAATTTGTTTCAGAGAACAGTTAGCATTACCCAAAACTGTCTCTTAGAACAATCCAAAAGACCCTTCAGTTAGAGAGGAACTTGGATTTGAAATCTAGCACGAAGTCTCTTGATAGAAGAGTGGAACTAGACTGTATTTTGGAGATTTTAAAGAAGGTTTTTCAATCTGTGATACTTCTATATTGAATTAAATGCATCTTGAAAAAACATATGCTGTTTCTTTTTTTCTTTTTTTAAATTCACTGGGGTTTAATAGATTTGAAACATAAAACATCAGAATCACAGAAAACTAGATTGTAGAAAAAATTGTGTACATTTTCAGTTATCGACAACTTTGTGTTTAAATTTCGAATCAATTTTAAATTTTAGTCTTTCCTTATATGGTGGTTAAAGTGGGCCTGGGAAATGTATGTATAGACATAATAATTGTTTTTCTTCTGTCCCAGGGTTTTTTGTCCTTTCTCAGTGCTCCTCTAATAGGTGCTCTCTCGGATGCATGGGGGAGGAAATCTTTTCTTCTTCTTACGGTTTTCTTCACCTGTGTCCCAATTCCACTAATGCGAATAAGCCCATGGTAAGTGGTACAGACTTGTCAGTAGAGCAGAGGAGTAGTTTGGATAGATGGGAAAGGGACAATAAGACAGGAAAGCAGCTTTCTTTTCAAGATATGACTGTATTATTCTGGAACTTTTCTGTTTAAGAGGTGTTAAAACTGAGTTTCTTAGAAGTGGAAATAATGAAATGTGATTTAGTAACTGTATTCACACAAGTAAAACAGTACTTGAAAGGATTTGATAGTCCTGTCTAACTCAGTTTTAAGCTCAGCTGCCGGTTTGTTCCCCTTGATGACTGACAGTAATAAACATGTTTTTAAATCTAAATGAACCTTAGCATTGATTTGCCACAGAAAAGTATAATTGCTGCAAATGAGATCTTCTATCTCTTTGATTAGGACTTTGTTTCAAAGTCAATACCCCTCAGTTAAAACTTCAGTTTCATTTACATTAATTGTGAAACTTGTGAGATTACAAAAGAACTTCATGTGCATGGAATGCATTCAGAGTTTATGGTAGTTTATTCCTTAACTGACTGAGAAAATTAGTTCTAAAATAGTTTGTTTTTCTGAACTTAAACTTGAGAGTGTAAAAATCCCTTCATGTCCTACAGGGGCCACTTCTTTTAGGCTGATGTAAACAGGGGAACATAAAAAATTGAGATGCTGTTTTCCAATATTTAAGTGAGATTGCACAAACATTCATCTCCACGAAAGCTCTATTTTAGTTCTCGAGGAACACTTCTCTTAAGCTTAAATGCAAACTTGCTTATTAGTAAGATAAAAAGCAAGAAATCTTAGCTTAAACTTTCTGATTGTTGCTCTTAAATTTTTAGGTGGTACTTTGCAATGATTTCGGTATCTGGAATCTTTTCTGTTACCTTTTCCGTAATATTTGCCTACGTAGCTGATGTAACACAGGAACATGAAAGGACAACAGCCTATGGACTGGTAAGATATGCTAAACTTTGAAAAAAGGGTCAGATTATGACCTCCCTGTTGAACTGGTGTTTTGATGCACAGATTGTTTTCTGGTTGCGGTGGTTTGAGACCCCTCAAAAATCCAATTTCCAAGTTCAAACCCCCCTCTCACAATTTACTTCAGTGTGAGGGGTTTTCAGACAAAACACAACTACTCAGCATTAGGGGAAGGGGAAAATACTTACAAGGTTTATTTACATACATATATATAGGTAACAACTTAACTGTCTCTTCTACGATGAAATAATATATTTACATTAGATTAAATTTCTCTTTTTCTTCAACAAGAGTCCAGGAAGAAAAAAGTCCTTTTGTCACTTTTCAAGTCACAGTTCCTTCAAATTAATTTCTGTGTATTGGTTAATGTCCTTTATTTTTAAGGCAGCAGATTTGAGTATTGTAGTCAGAATTTTTCTGTTCTTGCTTTGTGAAAATCCCAATCCCTCGAGCCCGAGCCTTCAGGGTACTTCCTTAGAGACTTTCACTTCTCCTCCTCTCCGGTGCTGCTGCATTTAGGAGCTCCCTTCAAATAGAAGTCCACCTCTCTTTCCAAAAGACGGTCTCTGAAAGGGGTTTTGGGGAGATCTAATTCAATCTTGCCCCCAAAACACTCTTCATTGAGTTTCCTCTGCTCTGTTGCCAGCTCTCCCTCCTTGCAGGACATCTCTGTGTCTCTCTCAGCCGGCTCTGTGCCATCTCTGCTGCTTGTTATCTCTTGGCTCTCAGCCACAGCTCTCCACTCAGCGCTGCCTCTGCCGCTGCTTTTCTATCTTCTGCTGCCCACTCACAGCAAGGAAATTTCCTCCAGTTCTCAGCTACAGTACTTGGCCCAGTTCAATACTGTTCCAAGCTCCTGCAGCCCCCAGACAGGGGGCTGGGGACTTTGGCCTCCAGCGGGGCTCGCTGGCCCCTCTCTCCTCGTGGCTCAGGCCATGGCTGCCTCCTTTTTCAACTACCTCAACTTCCTTCTCTTCCGGCCTGGGCCATGTGTTGATTTTTAGAAGTGAAATGTAGCTTCTGATTGGCCCTGGCACACCAGGAACACCACCCCCTGGGGTTAACCACTTCTCTAACTCCAGGGGAAAACATTTTTTATCCCAGGACACTGGTTAATGTGAAGCGGTTGGTAAAGGAATGAACCATGCCTCAAGACACAGAGTTCAGGCAATGAACAGCGTGCTGGGCGCTCATAGGAACACCATAACAATTTGACACTTCACCTGCAGAGAGGTCATGTGTAACAACACACCTCTTAACTTCCACAAGCAAAACATGCAGTGTTGTTAAAGGCAGTGCAGGTTATTTAATACTTCATCCAGCAATACCTTTATCATATGGAAATTACACTTTTAGTTCATGTGGCTTCTTTTTAATAGACTGTCTTTTTTCTATAGTCAAACCAGGTAGGAAGGATGAAAAGGCATAATGCAGCATTCGTAGTAACTTAGTCATGTCCTTTCTTAATTAGCAAAAGATGAGGAAAATGGTTCAGTTAGTACAAACTAGTCCTTTCAGTAATATAATTCCTACTTAGTTTGCTTTCCTAGTATTTATGTTGGTTTAGGGTTTGGAGATCTGTTGGTAGATGCACTTAGCCTTTGAACATTTTTTATCCCTTTATCTTCTGTGCATCTGTTTTCACTATGCAGATATTCATTGAATTCATTTTTGGCTGATTATATGCTACTTTGGGCTATTAAGGGTTCCCTTTATTTTTAGCCTTATGAATATATGATTACTGAGATGGTCATTTAGCAGTTAAGAAAATAAAGGACTTAGTTCTCTTGGACTTGTCTGTGTTGTTACAGCAGAGCACAAAACAGATTTAAAAGTTCTGAAATTCTGACTTTATTTCTACTGCATATAAAGAGGGCCATAGGTATATTTGGAGCATATATTTGCCTGCATTCAAGCAGTTTTTCTTGACAGAAACAACTTTATCTAAAATTCTATGAAGTGATTGACAAAAGTGCAGTTGCTTTAACGAGGTCTGTTTCTGTTTGTTGTACCTTTTCCTTATTTTTTTTCCCCTAAATTGGTATAAACCTAAATTTCTAGCTTGTGTTCTTATTCTGTAAAATAGTTATGGTTTAATTTTGGGGACTGTAAAAGAGCAACAAAAAAAACCCCAACCCCAACAACAAAACAGCTGCTATTTAACCTTTTTCTGGTTATTTTTGTAGTGAAATTTAGTTACAGCACTTGATTTTTCATCGTATTCTGCTGTATGTGAGTATAGTATGCGATCTGTTAGTAGCTGCATGTCACTACAGCACAGTATGATACAACACAGTCTTGTTGAAGTTCTTGTCAGAACTGTTGTCATAGCTAATGATTTCCTAGTTTGCTGTGCTATCCAGTGGTAACTACATATTTAAAATGCAAACTGTTAACAAAGGCATTATATATTATATTACTCTGTGTATTACCCAGGAGTGCTGACAGCTAGGTTCACTTAGGCAGGCATTTAAATACGCTGACAGCTTTTTCAGTGACATCACTTCAAATTCATAAGTAGGAAACAAAAAATTATTTTAGTCTATCTGAAAGTCAGAGCCATTTTCTTTTGAGCCAGACCCGCTCTTTGACTGCAAATCCTGTCTGGTGTGGTGTGCTGTTGAGGAGGTTGGACCCATACTTACTGTCATAAGTGGTGGGTGTTATTTTTTGGGGGTTTTGTTTGTTTGGTGGGTTTTTTGGTTTTTTGTTTTGTTTTGTTTTTAAAACTTGGATTTTTACCAGTGTATTTTTTTTTTAAAGCCTGGGTAGGGGTGAACTTGTGAACTGCTCTTTTGCACAGGTGTCTGCCACTTTTGCAGCAAGTTTGGTGACTAGTCCTGCCATTGGAGCATACCTGTCTGCCAGCTATGGAGACAGCCTTGTTGTACTAATGGCCACGTTGGTGGCAGCTGTGGACATCTGCTTCATCCTGCTAGCTGTGCCAGAATCTCTGCCAGAAAAAATGAGACCTGGTTCATGGGGATCTTCTATATCGTGGGAGCAGGCAGATCCTTTTGCAGTAAGATGCGCTTCAATAAGTAATTATTAAATATTTGATGATTAATAAAGAGTAGTTTTTAATTGCATTTTGTAATCATGAGAAATCTTTAATCTTCTCTGTAGCTCGACTACTCATTATACAATAATCTTGCTTCTCTGTTCTTGCCCAACAAGATCTAGATGCATTTAAAAACCAAAATCAAGCCAAACTTTGTGGATTAAATAATTTTTTATTTGAAAATAATGTTTCATGTGAAAGCCCAAGGGAGAATGTTGTACTTTTGTCACTTAGGTACTCTATTTTATTGTAAGAGAAATGCTTAATTCTTACACCACAAAAGTCAATATTTTAAGATTTTCCATATTCACTTTATGTTTGTACTTTTGGCAGTATCTCTCCTGATTTCCAGTTTTGGTTACATGTGATTTCTTTTTAATACAGAATGGATCTACAAAGCCCGATTTTTCTACAGGCTTATATAGAAAAGGCTAAAATTTGTCGTCCAATCTTTGTAGTAACTTGTTCATTTGTTCAACTTGTGTTTGTGTTACACCTTGATATCTTAAAAGAGGAAAGAGTGTTCTTCATGAGATGCATCCTGCTGGGAGCTGGTTGTGAATATTGAGAGATGAATGGCATGCTTGAAAGACTGCAGTTACAGAATTTCTTTTCCACAATGTATTTGTTCCTCAAATTAATTATATCATGGGTGAACAAGTAAAAGAACTGTACATGGAAAAATGCTCTAATAATTTTTGAAAAGAAACAGTTGTAAAGAGGCTATATTATTTGCTAACATCTTTCAAAACAGATTATTATGGAGATCGATTAGAAGATGTTGTGCATTTCCCTAAATAGTATATGATGCTGTTTTCAGGGAATAATTGTAAATTTGGCACTGAACAATAGCTTCAAAAATCTAGTGGAAGCTTTGCAGAAGAATCAGTTACCACAAACCTTACTTAATGAGGTTGTTTGTAACTTGACATTCACCTTAACAGTTTCCATGTGTGATTTTTTTTTTTTTTGGTACAGTAAAATGGATGGGTAAATGCATGGGTAAAAATGGATTTAAAAAAAATTTACCTTCTGCTTACTTTATACTTTCCTTAGACTTTGTATAAATGTTGCAATCCTTGCTTTGTTACTTTGTTTTACAGTCTCTGAGAAAGGTTAGAAAAGATTCTACGGTTCTCCGGATCTGCATTACAGTGTTTCTCTCCTATCTGCCCGAGGCTGGCCAGTATTCCAGTTTTTTTCTGTACTTGAGACAGGTAAATATTGGTGTCTTCACATCTTAGTAAGGATGTTTAAATAAGTATTGCCTGAGACTTGTTTCTTGTTGAAGACTTTTCTCAGAAACCTGCTTTCTGGCAAAATGCAGCTTTAAAACTGCAGGCAGGGTACTTTGTTAAGCAAAGAACTGAATAACACTTGACTCCCGATGATAAACCCTACAATAGCTTAAATATGTGTTAACCTTAAGCAGACCTTTGTTTCCCATTCAGTGCAGCAGTTTCTGGGTCTTGAGGTGAGATCCTGCCTTGTGAAGAGCTGTTGTGTTTATGGGAGGGAGAGAGCGCTCTAGTTTCCGGGTACATGACTTCCTCTGTCTCCTATTTTAGGGCATTTTTTTATTTCTATGTTTTTCTTGGCAAGCAGTCAAGGATTATTCTCGAAAGTGGACACTTCCTCTATGGATTTAGAGTATAAGCAGGGATCAGTGTTTTCTTTGAATAAGATATCTCTCTGCTAGTGGTTGTCCTGGTTTGTGTTTGGCATTTGTTTTTTATGCATTTTCTGCTTCTCTGCAGGTTATAGGTTTTGGATCGGCCAGCATTGCAGCATTTATAGCTGTGGTAGGCATTTTGTCCATAATAGCTCAGGTAAGCTTTGTTCTTTACAGTGCTTTATTAACCAGTAGAAACAATATTCAGGCAGACACTCCTTTAAGCTCGTCTATAAAATTTTTACATGCTCTAATGTGCCAGTGTATCTTGCACTCACTAAAGGTTATATTCATTATATATTATGTGTAAATTTCCTTCCTTATGAGCTTTTGTTAGAAACAAAATGAAAATAAAATTTGCTGGAAATCTGACTTAAAATTATTTAAATGATACAGGAAGTTGGTTTCTTAATACAAGGCTTTCTGAAAGGGAAATGAATTATTTTAAGCAAAAGTCATGCTACTTGCAGCTATTCAATTAGCTCATGTTATCAAACTTGCATACAAACAATGCCAATATTGGCCTGGTCTGTCCAGAGTTACTTAATCTCAACTTGGAGGCTGAGGTGTGGTTGCTATCATACAGCAAGCTGGTTTTTGAACAGGTCCTTTGGATCTTTTGGAAATCAGAGTTTTTATGATATGATCTTTGGTATCTTTATGGGTACAGTCTGTCTTCCTGTTGTGATAACAAGAAGAGGAATGGCACCTACAGCATGTTGTAACCTTGCTGCCATCTTTAGCAGAGTGAAGGTCTTACTGTTTTGATGTAAACAACACATTCATCAGTGTTTACCAGTTTTACTGGCATCAGTTGTGGCCTTCATTATCAATTCAAGTCATTATATTAATCCTTGGTTTGTAGTTTGTTCTGGTGCTGTTACTTGCACTGACATTTGCCAGTCATACTTTATGCAGATGGGTGTTTTGGCTAAAAATCTCTCGAATTGCTGCCCTTCTGGCTTATAATTTTCGGTGTTAAAATGGGGAAACTCTCTATATTTTTGAACTCTTTGAAGAGTGCAGCTTGTTGAAATAATCTTTGCTTCATAAATACTCATTCGTGTTGGCATGTTGGATATATCCAGAAAGAACTGAACACATGTAGATAGAATTATTGTGGTTTTGCTGTTTAGCATTCCAACTTGCTTTGTCTAAGAGTGAGAATCAAGAAAGCTAGGAAGAGAAACAAGACAAGAGAGGAAGTGTGCTCTTCTCTCAAGTCCTTCTGGTTCCTCTTCTCTGTCTTTTTACTGATGCATTGTTGAGTTTCTCATGTTAAATTAAAATGTGTGCTCTGTTAACTGAGTCACGTTGTCCGTATGGACTTGCTTTACTGGGAACAGACAACTTCTTGCCATGACTGTGTTGCTGTTGTACCTGAATTGAGACCTCCTTCCCCCTCAGCAGTAACACTTCTAACAGATGAGAAGCACTGTTCTTCCCTTAGGAATAGCTTCCATGGGTGAATAAAAAGGTCGTATCAGCGCTGTAAAGAGTCAGCAGAAAATATAATTGGTGATGCCTAGGAATTGGCCTTAGCCAGATTTCAGTGCATGTGATGAACTTGAGAAAGCAGCAGGATTTCCTTGTTAGTTTTAGTTTTAAATTTGTATGATAATTCACCTGACCTAAAAAGTTTAATTTTTTTCTGAGCTAACAGTCTTTTTTTTTCTCTACTGTTTGTAAATATCGGTAAATTCAACTCATGTCCAACCTCTACTATCTTAACTTGGTACCAGCTTTTGTTTCATGGAGCTTTCTAGTGTGTAATGAAGCAGGATTGTAGAGGTGGAAATGAAAGCCAGTTTACAGTAGAAATAGACACTGAGATCTAATAACCTTAAAAAAGGCAGTACATATGCTTCCTGATGTCCTGAAGTAGTAACCCCTTAAGAGTTAAGAATATTTGTACATGATTATTGATATGACTCATCTGTGTTTTGGACTTAATACAAGGGCAATAAGAGCACAAATAGCATGAATTTTGTCACCAGTTGAAAGGTCTTCTGAATTACTTTGTGTGGCAGAAATTACTTTAACAATCTGGCTTTTTAAAACAACTTTTGAGTGAACCGATTTCTCTTGCAGACTGTGTTTCTCAGTATCTTGATGAGGTCCATAGGGAACAAAAACACAGTTCTCCTTGGCCTTGGCTTTCAGATCCTTCAGCTGACTTGGTATGGTTTTGGATCTCAGTCTTGGTAAGTTCACATTTTCATGGGTACGTGCCTGTTAAGGAACAGAAAGTTTTTTTCCCCCAGAAATGCTACAATTTAATTCTGTTGTCCTGAGTATTTAAAAGTTCTGTGGACTAAGTGTTCTCATTTTCATTACACTACCAAAATTTGGTCTATATTTTGCATATGTAGGAGTGATAGAATTTTCCATATATGTGGTGTACTAACAGCCCTTTTTGAAAAGGGAGTCTTTGCACCACTTTGGTTCACTGAGTGTTATATCTAAGGATGTGGTTAAAGCTTTTCCTAAAAGCCAATTAGTAACATGTTCTCTCTTGTCATTCCACTAGGTCCTGGACCTATTCTTTTTTCTGTTTTTCTAACGTGCCCTCTTTACTATAATTATGTTTGGTCTTGAAAATTATCTAGAGCTTCTTTTGTAGGAGAAACTGTCTGTAAGTAAGGACAGCTAGAACCATAAGCTAGAACAGCTTCTTCTTTACCAAGTTTGTCCTACTGACAGTGATGAATGCTGTTTCTTTATCAGAGCACTTCCTGTAAGTTATAGGAGTCTCACTGGGACACCCTTGGAAGTTGTTCCTTTGTGCAGCATTTGGAGAGGGAAAGCTCACTTCACTCTCATTTCCCTCTTTTGCTCTACTGTAATAGCTAGTGCAGAAGCAAATCCAGTGGTCTTCTGTTCTAATAAGTTCAGGATAATTCATGGGAGGGGAGCAGGAAGAGGGTTCTAACCAGATAATTTCCAGTCTTTAGGTATTTTAATAAGAGTATTTTGAAATAGCATTAATCTTTAAATAAGGGTGCCTTTGTGGTCCTTCTGGGGTGTGGGGAGTAATTACAGTCTCATTTTTAATTCAAATTATGTGCTTAACACAGGATGATGTGGGCAGCAGGATCTATAGCAGCGATGTCAAGCATTACATTCCCAGCAATCAGTGCTCTGGTTTCACGAAATGCAGAGGCAGATCAGCAGGGTGAGTGTTGAATGAATTCCTGTTTAGGCATCATACTGCATTTTCTGTCTAGAAAGCAGTAGAGTTATCTAGGTGTACTCTCAGTTATCTTGGTGAGTAATATTTTTACTTGGTAGTAGTTGTAGAAGTCTGCCAAGCTATGTAGAGAGGAATTTTTGCATTGCAAAGTACATAGTTCGTGTCTGACCAGCTATTTTTTTAGCTTCCTTTAAAAGTACTACAAAAGCAACAAAAACTTTTCTCTTTTTTTATCTTTCCTTTTTTATTAAAAGGAATGTTCTCTAAGTAGACAGTGAGGGTTACTGTAACAATACTGCCTTTTTAATAGAAACTAAAAGTGCATTTTACCAGATTAAAATAAGTGTATGCAAGAAGCTTCATTCTTTGTGGAAAAGTTGTCCCTGTTTAATATAATACTTTGGATTTTCAAGGAATACAAAAGGAAGCCAAAGTAACTAGTTGATCTGAGAAGACAGAAAATGTATTGATGTGAAGAGGAATGTACAGTCAGAAATAACTCCTCACTTAAAATAAAATGAAGTTGTCACTGGTGTAAAATAACTAAATTTAGTGTTATCTTAAAAAAATATCCTGTATATGTACCTTGTAAGTATCAATCTTGCTTTAACATTGTACAACGTGAAGCTAGGTACGTGCAGTTAGTATGAGTGGTACCAAGTAGGTGCTGTTCCAGGAGGCAGATTTCTGTTGAGTTTGAAGGTGCAAAAGACAGTATTTACATGGATTTTTTCAATTATTCTCCTCTCCCCCATTTTTTTTTTCTAATAGAGACATCTGAAAGCTTTTTGAAGACTTGTTTTCTATTTGTATCAGGAAAGGAATAGTTCAGTTTAGCTGTCACAAGCCACTGAACCTTCATTTTACAGAGGGAACTGGTGTTAATAGCTCAGGCTTTCAGTGGTTCCAAGAGTGATGTTTTGCCACCTAGTGGCGTGAAGGTTTTAAACTTACATGTCAGCCTACGAAGTAAAAACTTGGAGAGCTATCATTTTGGCATGTTTTCTGTGCTTCTATTTTACAAGTTACTGCCTTAAGAAGGCAGCAGATAACACAGAATATTAATATAGTAAAAAATAGCACTTTGTAGTATCTCAATATGTAAGATCATCAGAAAAGTTTTTGCACCGTTGTCAAAATTGCTTAAGTTGAAACAGAAATACACCTATAGCACTTTGATTAATCAAGCTGCTAAAAAAATCCAGTGCAAAACTGCAGCCAGTCAAGTATTGTGAATTTACTGCAGTACACTTGAATTTACTGCCCCAAATAAGTTATGTGGTACTTAAATAAATCCTGGTCATGGTTTGTGCATATTTTGTCAATCATGATCCTTTAAAGGTAGATGCATTACTCTAAATTTCACTTGAAAGTAAATTGAATGGGTACCACACTCGAGCTCTGCTGTCATCATTGGAGGCTTTGGGTGAGGGTGGATGAACTCTAATATAAAATAAAACCTGTACCTAAATTTCATCTCTCTTATTGCTTCCAGTAGCCTGCAAGTTAAGTGACAGAACTATGGTTATGCAGAGGATTATTTTAATCCAACAGAGTTGTCTTCCATGTATTTCTTTAGATCTTGGAATATAGAAGTAATTATGAAATGAACTTTTTTGGAACAGTCATTAGAATGCAGTCAAAGCTCTTGGCTCTGAGTGTTTCTTTCTGGATTAAAAAAAATATAAAATCCTACTCCATTTTTTATAAATTTTTAGGTGTTGTCCAAGGAATAATAACTGGAGTAAGAGGACTGTGCAATGGCCTGGGACCAGCACTGTATGGCTTTATTTTCTTTCTCTTTCACGTGGAACTCAATGAGTTACTACCTGATCATACTTCTGGGAAAAAAGCAATGCAAGTTCCCAGTGACAAGGTAAGTTCAAAATTTGGTGTGCAGTTTGCAGCATATAACTCATGAGGGTAGGAATCTGTCTTTTTTGGTTGATTTAAAATCTTAGTGTCTTATTCTTTAACTACTTCATTCTCACCTCTCAGCTTTATTAGACTGTTAAGATAGCTCATAATTTAAATCTGATAGTAAATATTTAGATTTACAGTAGTAGCAGGAATGGTTTCAGTATTATAGCAGAATACTTTAACTTCTTTAGATGTAAATGTACTGGAGGTAAAAAAGTTGGAGTGAGGTTGTATCATTATAATTATCCACAGGAAGCCCTTACAGCAAACAGTGCAGTCATGAGCTGTGTTTGGAGAGTGATAATAACACTTGGCAATGCAATGAGCAAGGACTACTTTTCAAGGATTCTTACCCATAATACTGAAATATTCAAAAGCTGCTCAGATAAATTAGCAAATGAGGGTATTAATTTATGGAAGTTTCTTATATCTTTAAGTACTTGTGTGCATAGCACCTGTTGAAGATTTAAGTAATACCATTAATATGTTCTTTACATGTAGAGACCATCAACTGAAAATTCAGGCCTCTGATTGTAACAGCAGTTGAAGGAAGGGAAATATCCTGCCACTGTATGCTTAACTGCAGCTACTTTCCTCCTTCATATCAGAGTGGCTTCCTACATTTCATTTAGTAGAGTAAAAGTAGACTGGTTTGACAAATTTCATCTTCTGATTTTTATTTAATTGACTCGGTAGCAGAAAAGTTGTTTAAGATTAAAAAAAAAAAAAGCTGGATTGCTGGCACTTCCTTTTGTAGAAGTTTGTCATCAACCTTGACTGATTTAAAATTTGTCTTACAACCTTTCTGGTGTTTGTTTTTAATTGTGGTTATGAAATGTGGATAAATTGTGGTTTAAATTTTAAAGTAAACTGCATTGAAGCGGGAGAGAATAAGTCCAAATATCACATTATCGTACATGCCCACAGCCTTTCTCTGTGGTGAGAATGGTCTGTAGTGTACAGCCTGCTGTTGCTTTCCTCACTCATGTATTAGTTTTTGGGGATGCTTGTTTGTTTGGATAACTTGATTCTAAAGTATGTCAGCCACGGAAAAGTGAAGTTAAGAATCTATTGAGTATTTGTACTTCTGGATGTTGAAACCTTATTCTGCTAATCTTCAGAGAAGTCTTGCTGATTTAACAGGCAATTTGCCTGAAGTAAAAAGAAATTACAAAGAAGCATCAATCAGCTTCTGTTTCATCTGCTAGACAATCCTATTGTCAATTGATAGTTTTGTGTGTTTCTGGTTTTTAGATCAGTGTGGCAGATCGTTTGAGGAATTCATGGGGATCGTAGGTGCAGAAAATTTGTGTTGCAATGCATATATGAAGCTGTTTGCAAAAGCTTCACAGTTACCATAAATACATTGCCCATGATCTCCTGCCTTAGTGGTGCAATTCATAATGCAGAACTCAATGTCTGAAGCTTCATGGAATTCTTTAATGTGCTTGTTTTGCCGCAGAGAGCCATCGTTCCTGGTCCACCCTTCCTGGTTGGAGCGTGCATTGTTCTTCTGGCTTTCCTGGTCGCCTTATTCATTCCTGAGAACAGCAAAGCTGGCAGTACCAAAAAACACAGCAACAGCATTGGCAGCAGCCTGAGCAGCAACCCAGACCAAAGTAATGGAGAGGACATTGAACCACTGCTGCAAGATAGCAGTGTGTGAAGGCTGAACTTTGGAGGGGACTGTGGAACAAATTCATGTGCTGAATTGCAGCCCTGGGTGGGAGATACAGAGTGTCTGTGCTCTGAGGGGAAGACAGCTGTGTACAGGAGAAGGTCATGTGCCATATGACACTTGAGGTCGATGTCATACTTGCAGGAGGGGTTTTTTGGGATGGCAGGTCACAACTTGGTGTGATTCTACTGAGTATCGGACTGCAAACACTGTGTCAAACTGTGGTGTTGGGGAGAAACCCGAACATGCAGAGATAATGGAATTTTTTTAACAGTTTGAATGTTCAATTCCCAAAGTTGCATCATAATGCAAAATAAATAGGTTTGAGCCAGAATAGTTTCTGCCATCACTATTAAAGTTTTGTTTTGCATTTCTTATGCCTTTTGTCTGCATCTATGCCACATGTAGTCTTCATGGTATAGGAGGGACTGATCTCCATGTAGTTCTGGTATCTGAAATAATGGTTATCAGTAACATTCTCTAATGTTACTTACTAACAAGAAGTCCAGTAGTTACCAGAAGGCAGTGATAAAACTGAGATGACAGAATCCTGAGTGTGTGTGATCACACATGACAATCGTTACCCATAAATGAGGATCATATGGAAGTCTTAAACCCGCATTCCAGAATACTCAGTTCTGAGCAGTTAAAGCAAATCCAGATGGCACCAGAGAGCCAGGTCACATTAATGCTTTACTTATAAAAAATAAGATTTTAATTTTAAAATGAGCAGTGTCAGAAAAATGGACACTCCTGACTTCTGAGTGGGAGCCAGAGTGGTTTACGCCAAGAAATATGTGTATTTATTGCATTTTGTCACTTTATCTGCCATATGAAGTAATCTTTCTTATTAATTCCTTTCACCCCTGCCTTAACTGCTACTTAGGGTTCAGTTATTAATCATATTTAGCCTTCATATAACTGTCTTACCTGCTGAATATCATGGGTATATTCATATCAAATTTCCTTTCTAAATGATGCTTTAAAGGAGTTATGGATGGTTACAAATATGCTAATTTTTAGAGACATTTTATGAAGAATACACAGATTTATATGAATTTTGCTGCAGTGTAAATGGACTATTAAACCCAACTTTAATGAAGTACTCCTGTGAATGTTTTATATGTATGCAATATATGTAGATATTTCTAAGGAGTTTCAAATTTTTACACATGAGGTGCTGTGTAAATCATGTATTTATAAATGTAATGAGGGTACAGACAGATATACAGTTTTTTAAAAGGATTGTGTATTGACTGGACAAATTTTAAAAAATATATATTTTGAAACTTGTTCCACACTGAGCACAGACAACAAACCTTTTGTACTATGTGGTTTGGTTTTTAAGTTAATAAGCTTCCTAATGCATAATAAATCTACATTTTAAGCTTTCTAGGTTTCATAAGTGCCTGTTCTTCCAAGTTCACCGTTGTACCTTTGCTGCTTCAGAACAGAAGTGGGTTAATGCTGGTGCTGGGTGACAGTACCTGAGTTCCTGCTCTTTTGTGTTGTGTCTGTGTCATCAAGCCTGGTGAAAAGTGTGCTTTGCTTAGAAGTTCCTTTGGTGTCTGACATGGTGTCCACTGGGGTAGAGAGGTGGAAAGAGTGAAAGGGAGTCAGTTAAACAAAAAAAAGAGTAATTTATGATCCGAATAGTGCTACTGAATCAAGATGCTTTTTCTGATAAGGCTTAGGTGTGTTTATGGTTTTGTTTGGGGTTTTTTGTTTTTTGTTTGTTTGTTGTTTTTTTTTTTTAATTTCTTGTAGTTCAAGCCTGGGCTTTTATGCTGGATATTTTATTTTTGCTGCAGGGCAGACTGCAGTTAGGTAGGTTTTGCATGATCCCAGTACAGAGTGTCCTAAACTTGATATGGAACTTAAGAGATCATACAGTATGTTAATGTTAAAAATAGCAGGTGTCAAAATTAATGCTGCTAATAGTATTCCAGCAGTAGATCACACTTTTAGAGTAGAATCTCAGAGTCACAGAGTGGTTGGAGGCACCTTTAAAGGTCATGGAACAGGGGCATCTTTCACTAGAGCAGCTTGCTCAAAGCCACCCTGTCCAACCTGCTCTTGAACACTTCAAGGGATGGACCATCCGCAACTTCCCTGGGCAACCTCTTACCACCTTTAAAATGAAATTTTTCTTCCTTATGTCCAATCTAAACTTACCCTTTTGGTTCAAAACTGTTTCCCTTTGTCCTGTCACTACATGCCCTGGTGAAATGCCTCCTCCTTTCTTACAAGCCCTCTTTATATATAGGAGGGCTCACCCAGTGTGCTAAAAGAGCAAATGATAAAGGTGAAAAAAAGTGAACTACAGATTAGATAAACAATTAAAACATATTTTTATTAGTGGTACAAAATATTTTGCTGTTCTCAGTATAAAATTAATAAATAAGTGATGCTCTGGAATAATGCTTCATTATTTTTGGAAATTTTGGTTTGACACTGTGGTACAGAGATTCAAAGATTGGGTTCTAGTTTCAGTTTATTTTGATACTTGATTTTAATGTCTGTCACTTGAGAAAGATACCTCACAAAGATATATAGATCCAAATGGGAGAAATGTGTTGCTAGCTATGCCCACTAAGTCAGGACTCTCGTTTTTCAATCCTGTCCTCTAACTTTGCAATCTGTGTTAATATTCAGCTAATATTTCCATCTTCCATCTTCAGTTGTTCTTGCAAACTAACTAAAGGTCTTGAATTTTTGTGTTGTTAACAAATGGATTGGAAACCCACCTAAACTCTTCCTTTGGAAGATTTTTTTTTCCAACAGGTTAGGAAGTTACTTTCCCAGTTCAAGTTGTACAGAGATTTTATGGGTGACACCTTTACTTACATCTTTTTTTGCAACACAGTTGCACGACAAGGGAAACATTTTCAAACCTGTTTTCAAAATACCCTCTCTGTGCAACAGCTTTCTTTTAAAAAGAAAAATTTTCTTTCTCATATTTAAAACGTCATCTTTATCTTGAAGAGACATGTGAAATGATTTCATTTTTCCAAAATATTAGCATAGTACTGACAGGCCCTTTTCATCAAAGAAAAGGTCAGGAAATTTGGAACAATTGCTTGTCTTTCTGTGAAAGAAAAATGTGAGTTTGACAGCATTTTTAAGCACTTTGCCATGATATAACCAGTGAACCTCTGAGGTACAAAAGACATTCATGATGACTCCCAATCTGTTTCCAAAGTATTGTAAAGATTCCAAGATTAAAAGGTCTTGTTGTTACAAAATTAACCGCATTGATGACATCCTGTAGCACTTTTTGTGCTTCTGAGTCCAATTTATTTGCTGCACTGGCTTGCCCATGAGACATCCAGTGACTGAATTTCACTATTGCTGTAACCTTCTCCTGTGCTCCTTTTTTTTTTAATTCCATTCAAAGCAGCCACTTCATCAGTGATTACACTTGTATATTTTTTTCATAATTTTTAATAAGTGGTTTACTATTCAGAAGCTGTCTTTCCCACAACATCTTTTCTTTAATGATTAACAAAATCACTCTTTATCTGCTTCATCATTTAAAAAACTGAGACAGGTTAGGAACACCTGTAGGTTCAGACCTCCCACAACCCATAACTTGTTCCGATATTTTTTTCTTCAAACCTTCAGCAGTGTTTTCTGTGAAATTTTGTAAGCACCGGGTTGAGCATCACATGACTTTTAAACATCACTGATAAAACTCTTAAAGATTTTTCTTCATATCCTGGATGACTGATTTTAAATGCCCTGCTAATCCTTATGTCTTCTTACTGTTGTTAGCTAAGACCTAAAGGCACAACGTACGCTCAAGTGGAGGTTCGTGGTTAGCAACAGTGCTAATGTAGATGTTTCATTAGTATTAACTTCAACCTGCAGGGCTGGGCTTTTTTTGAGGGTCAGTTTAGTTTTGACTAGGTAATACAATCCATGGACCACTTAAGTGGGCACATGTAGATGTCAGTATGTCACAAATACACTGAAAGGGCGAGTGAGGATGTCACTGTCAACCCCCCTCTGTGTTGTGGAGCACCCAGAGACCCCAAGGATACCTTGTGTACTGCCTATGTCTGGTGCACAGACCAAGTGAGAGTCCCAGTGTCAAGGCATGGTAAAAATTAGTAAAGTTTGATTCCTTTCTTACTGTTTTTAGATTAAAAATAAACAGTAGTTCTGATATTGTGTTCGTGCGCCCCAGTGGATTGCCTTGGTATTATGGTAACTTAAAGCTGAATGGGTTGGATTTTGCAAAGTTGTGTGGGGTAACACGTGCTAAATCAATGCTCTGTGAAATGCTTTGGTTGAATGTTGCCCTTTAAACTTTACTGAGTTCCTTTATTTTCTAAAGTTTACCAGTAAAATGTGTTATTTGACCTGCTGAGAAACATGTGCACATCATCTGCCACACACTCTCTCAAGGTCTAAAAAGGTCTGAAGGCCCTTTCAGTAAATCCGTTGGGCAGATTTTTGGAGCCTTTTGTACTTTTAATGTAAAACCCCTTCTGTGAGCTCACAGTGTGAACCTGGAGTCTTACACCAGTGCTCCAGAGCATATTTTATTGTAATGTAAGAACAAGCAGTAATTACAGTTAAGGCAGTGCCTCACTTCCTCAGGATGATTAAGGGCTTGCTTCTCTAGGGCAGCTGCTGGTCTTCATTTGTGCTGAGGTGTGCTTCTGATCCAGAGAAACAAAGGCCTAGTTCTGATGAAATTTACCTTTTGCCTTTATTTATTTATTTATTATTATTATTATTATTATTATTATTTTTATTTTTTTCAGGAGAAATCAAGGATAGTCTTGCTCCCCCAAAAGTAGGGCAAGAGAGGAGGGATAACAGTTGAAAGATCCAGAAAATAATACTTAGGAAACTTGCTTCCTTTTCTGCTGTTGTCAGAGATTTTGCTCTGCTGTGTACATGCATTTATCACGAAAATATGATGTTACTGTACTTTGATTATAACATACTAGAAGATAAGTCCTATGATAAATAAACCTATGATTTAGGTTGGACAAGTGTGTTAACCAATCTGTTATCTATACTGGCATTAAGATTTCTTTTACCAAGAAGAGAATTTGATTTTAAAAGTTTTTTTAAAAATTCTGCAAAAACTTTCAAGTTGTGGTCCAAAAGCTCTCACTTACAGAATCTTCCAAGCTCAGTTGGCTACACTTAGACACTTCCTGGTCAATCTGAAAAATGTGGGGAATGAAGAAGAGTAGATAAGCAGAATAGCCTGAGGAAAATGAGCTTGATTTCTAGTTCTCTGTTTAGTGGCATGCTGTCTCACGTGTTGCATTTCAGGAGTGTGGTGGTGAGATTAGGAGTAGAAGGTAAAGTCTTGAATCCCACGTGTTTAAAGATAGAAATTAAATCAGTTTTTTATTTTCGAGGCAATTTCTCTTGAATAAGCGTTGCAGAAAAGAAGGTACTATTTGTCTTCTCTCATTACTGTTAGTCTTGCTCTGTTTCCCAGAAGAACACTGCAATAAAAGGATGGAAGATGCTGGGCAAGGTTCAAGATACACTCCCAGGCCTAGCATTGCTACTCTGCTGCCCTTGCAACCTGTCTGGTTTGTGTTGGTATAAAGATGCCTTTATGTATTGCATTTTCAGCACTAGCACCTTAGAGTGAGTGTGTTAAAATCCTTCCTTAATTTGAAAGTAAGTGCTGGATCACTTGCTGAATCCCTGAGAAGTGTAGAGCTGTTTAATGTACGTGCAATGGGGCTGCATTAGGTGTTAACAATTTAAAAGTCAGAATATTTTTTTATAGCCCTTGTTTTTTTTGGCAGGAAACAATGGCCACTTCTGATTGCATACTCCAATGAGAATTTAGGCTTATGGACCTCAGAAAGTTGCTCGTATCTGAAATGTCCCTTAACTGCTGTCTGATGTATCCCTTAATGTTTATGTATCAATATAATTGTGTGAGAAACAGGCTGTAAGGAAAACCGTGCTGCTAACTCTGCACCATCTGAACAAAGGCAAAAAGCTGCTCAGCAGGACCTTGCTTAATGATGATGCAATAAAAAGTGATGGCAAACAACAGGCAAGCAACATCAGCCATGACAAATGACTTTTCTACACATGCGGAAAGTGTTGCTCTTGAAAACTTTGCTGTGGTTGTATTTTGTCCAGAAAATTTGTTTTATAGGTTTACAGGCAACTATTTTTCTTTCCCTTCTCCTCCACCCAGTTTTGATGAAGAGTATTTTTAAGCATATTTTACACTTTGCAGAAAAATACTGCAGCTTTTTCTGAAAGTGATTGTAAGACCCCAGCCATGGAGCCACACGCTCAGGCAGGGATTTTACTTTTAAAAATGTACAAGACGCCAAAAGTTCTCCCACCAAACCTTTGCAGAGCCTTCGGTTCTTTGACGCCTTGG